CGTTAGCTCTGGGCCCCTGGTCTTTGTCTTTTTTCCTTGTTGCTTTTTAAACTTTTGCAATTGTTTTAAGAAATCCAGTCTTTCAGACTAGCTCTTTTATTTTCTTTATTGATTTTTTAAAGTAAAAAACAAAACCAAAAAAAAAAAAAAAAACCAAAAACCCTAACCTAAAACAAAAAGCTAAGCAAAAAACCCACTACTCTTCCGTTCCCCAGCTTGATCCATGAGCACCCCCTGCACTCCCCTCTACCTGCAGGTTCCTCCCTAAAAAAAAAAAAAAAAAAACCAAAAACAAAACCCTAAAACAAAAAGCTAAGCAAAAAACCCACTACTCTTCCGTTCCCCAGCTTGATCCATGAGCACCCCCTGCACTCCCCTCTACCTGCAGGTATCGTTCCTCCCTTTTTCCTCGGCTTGAAGCATCAATGTCCAGTGTCTGTGAAATGATGTTTTATCTGTGTCTCAGGATGAGAAACGGCAATCATTCCACCAGGTGCTGGAAACTGGTTAGCCTTGAGACAAGGGTTTCTAGGGCCACAGCTCAGGGATGTGTATTTAATTACAGGGTCCCCAGAAACCCCTCTCTTGGCTGCCACAAGCAACAGCTTCTTTTCTGGGCTTGGGAGCCAGACCCAGACTGTTTTCCTCAGAGGCAGGAGCCCCAGAGCATAACACATCTGGGAATGAGCTGGGCCTTCCTCTTTGGCCAGACCTGGGCCGCCGTGAGCCCGGAAGACTTCTGGCTGTCCTGGAACATGAGCCACAGTGGCCCTGCCTCTACCGGCTCATGAGACACCTGGTCCCTCAGCCAAATCCAGTCCCTGTATGGCCTGCCTCCTACGGGCCTGCAGCCCTAAATGGGCCCCAGCCTGCCTAGGAATCAGTTGCAGGCTCAAAGCAAAGCTGTGAGTCAGGCCGGAGCTTGCTCCAAGCCCAGGAAAAAAGTTATGTTACTGGTGGAGGCTGGTCTTCCATATCCTGGAGCCAGCCCTGCCAGCCAGAGTATCATTTTTGCTCTTTGGTGACCATTGTTTTCTTTCTCTGAAACGTCTTATAATAGGTGATAATGTTGTTGATTCAAATTTCCATGAAAAAGAAAAAAAAAAAAAAACTACCTCTTGACATCCTGGTCGATTCCTCTCTGAGAAATCCTGTGGGAAAAGAACACTGCAGCTCCTGCTCTGTTTACGTGTTTCTGTGGGGAGAGAAACCCTGCCCGCCCTGGCGTGTTGGTGTTTTTGTCTGTGTTGCCATCCCAGGCCTGCGATAGGGGCTTGTGGGTGCGTTGTGATGTCTGGGCCATGTCTGGGGAGTCCTCCACACCTGCCCAGCCGGGGACCAGCCACCCCCTTGAAGAGGCCTCCTTTTCCTTCCTATGATTCAGGGCACAGGAAGCACCGCCTCCCACTACCCCACCGTCGGGGGCTCTGGTGGCACATGAATCCATGAGCCTAGCACTGGGCGACCTATCCTAGGTCCACCTCTACCCACAGTCCTGTGTAGGAATCAAGTAAACGGATGTCTCTGAGCCCTTGTCCCCAAAGGGCCGGCCAAGGGCTGCCCGCCAGCCTGGCTCCATCAACCCTGCATGACCAAATGACAGTTGGCGGGCTCTGCAGGCTACCCAGGCCCTCTGCTACCTCCCACCCTGCCAGCTGGCAAGGGATGGGCCCTTTTCTGTGAATTGACTACCTGTGGAAATGTGACCAATTAGTGTGAAATGCATGTTTAGACAATATTAGGTACTGTATTTGAACCAATAAATGTGAATCCTGCACATGGCATCTGTCTGTGAAGCTTGTCTGGGTTCTGGGGAGGGGCGACGGGGTGTCCTACGGAGCTAGCTCATGTCTTCAGATCTGTTGCTCCTGCTTGTAGCTGACACCTACCCACTTCCCACTGCTGAGGGTCTGGCAGAGGAGCATCTCATACCTGCTCGAACCGGTGAACCAGCACTGACTGAGGTGCCTGCTCTGTGCCTGGCGCTGTGTTGGAACTTTTCATAAACCTGAACCTCCTTAAACTTAAAGGATTGTTATCTCTATTTTACAAATGAAGAAGCGAAGGTTAAGTGAGGTGAAGGGACTCGCTCAAGGCCACCAAGCCAGAAAATGGCACAGCTAGAGGAAGTGAGTCCAGCGGGAGAGGCAGACACAGACCTGTGCAGTACGGTGGGCTCAGGGTTGGGATGGAGGACGTGTATGGGGTTGTAATGGCCTAAAGGGAGGTGGCTTGTTCTACTCAGGAAGGGTTTCACAGATGAGCAGTGGAGGTGGGCCTTGACGCAAGTCACCAGACAGGAGGACAGACCAGGTAGAGGGGTCCACAACGGGGTTGAATCTATAATATGTGGACTATTCAGGCATAACGGGATCGCCTGACATGAATGGTGGCAGACGGAAGGGAGTAGCAAGACGAGGCTGAAGAAGCCCTTGGGAGCCTTGAATGTCACATTCAGGGGTCGGGAAGGAAAGCCATCTGCTAAGTCTCAGGAAAGAGCTGCGTGTTAGTGATATCAGTGTGTTGGTGGATGGTCTGCTAGTGCGTGTCACCATGGGCCAGCCGACGAATATCTGTTCTTCTGGAAAATAGATGAGGTTTTCTAGAGCTGAGAAAATGGAGGCTCTGAGAAGTCATGGAATGTGTCCAAAGTCATACAGGAAGTGTCAGTGTTGGGGCTTGAACCCAGATCTGCCCAACTATCCTGTAGTCCCACTGTTCATATGATCAGAGAAGTGGCAGAGTTTGGGCTGAGGGTTATATAAAGACAGATGGGAAAGATGAAGGCTCCTCAGTTTGGGAGGATAAAGGCTGAGGAGAGTCTGATCAAAGCCTATTAAATTCTCATGTGTGAAACGAGGGGAAGACCAGCTGCCTTCCCATACCTCAGCCTCCTCCAGCGCAAGGGACCAGAGAGCCCTTGAGGTTTGAAAGAGATGGTTTTAGAACAAAGGGAATGCTGCAGAACTAATTAATAGACTATTCCATGCCCCCACAAGAGGGGACAGATAAGACACAGAGGTGCAAGCAGGAGAAGGAACACATTTGCTGACCGCCTAGTGAGTGCCTGGCACTGTGATTGGTGCTTTACGTGCATTGTCTCCTGTAATGCTCATAGCCATTCTGCAAGCCATAGGTCTCAGCCCCATTTCACTCTTAAGCAAATTGAGGCTCCAGGAAATTAAGCCATTTGCCTAAGATGACACATGAGTAAGTGGCAGAATTGGCTTTTGAATCCAGGTCTATCTGATACCAAAGTTACAACAGGCTTCCTCCCTGCCCGGCCTTAGCAATTCAATAGTGCTGAATATGAATGTCGAGTTTGTAACAAAGCTCAGTAACGGCCTTTGGTTGAACTTTTTTTGCTGTTAACAAAATAAACAGAGGACTCTATGAAACTAATAAAGGAATAATTTTTGTAAGAGGCGAAAGAACATCTGAAAAGCAGTCCTGTCCCAAATAGACATAAAACGCTGCAGAACCAAATCTGTGTGGTTTCTCAGAATGGAGATGACCCACAAGGTGGCTCCATGGGAAAAGAAGTGGGAGTTCTATTTGCCAGAAATCTGGGAAATATTGTACTTACCTTCCTCTGATTGATGCTCAACCTTCGTTGGCATTTTAAAGGCTCTGAGAAGTCCTGCCTGAAGGAATCTGTAATTTTGTTTAGCCCAGGGTGTACCCAGAAGTATTTGAGCATGGAACATTTCTTCCTCCTGGTAGAATTCTGTTGGGACAGTGTTCCATGGAATAAAATTGAGGACACTACTCTAAATTTATAAATTGCTACTTAACTGATGGTGAGCTTTTGGTTTCCTTGAGTGTCGGGCAATAAACTGGAAGGAAAGAATAATAAGCAATTGCAGAGCAAGGGAAAGCACTGTGCCAAGCATTTGCTCTGCAATCAGTTACTGATTCCTCAGAGCTACTCTGTGAGGTTGGTGCTGTGATGAGCCCATTTTACAGATAAGGAAACCGTGGGCCAGAAACAGTAAATAATTTGCCTAAGGTTGTATAACTTGTATGTAACCTCAGGAATGAATATAAACCAGTACTGGTTGAGTGCCTACTGCTGGGTTATGTCAGAGTCTGAAGCCAGAAACCCCCAAATGTGATGGCAGGGAAGGGTGTTGGGATCAGGTTGGATGTGGCTCCACGGAGCCCTCTCCCAAGGATCACTTCCCTCAGTTTGTGTGACAGCAGGCACATCACACGGGGGGCTCACCACCTGAGTTTTAATTCCAGCTCTTCCCCTTACCAGTTGTTTGTGACTTTGACCCAGGTAGATCTTTCTCTGATCCTCACTTTCCCTGACAGATAAATAGAGATGGCAGTGCCTGTGTCTTGTCTTAGGGGTTTAAGGATTCACCGTGGCTGGTTCAAAGTAGGGGTTCCATGAAGTCAATCCATAAAAAGAAGCTGGTGAGGGGAGCTGCAGCCCTTCACACCCCAGCAACAGGAGCCCAGCAGAGCCAGAAGCCACCTCTGGCTTGTCCTGGCCTTGGCCTGGCTGCCCACCAGGGTTTTAGGTCCACCGAAAATCAGCCTTTCTGAGATCCTGTGGCAAATGTACCCAACTGTCAGACCCAGGGCTCTTGGAGTCTTGTTCCCTTGGCAACAAGTCTCACCATGGAGACCACAGCCCCATCCTTGCCCTCGTGCAAGCTCCTCTCCACAGACCTTCCCCGTTCAGCACCTCGTCCTAGGAGCAGTGTAGAAACTAAGGGAAGCTCCAAGGAGGCCTTCCTCAGGGTGAGGAGTTTGATTAACAGCTGGCAAGAGAGGCAAAGGGAACTCGCATTTTTTGTGTCCATGTTATACCTGGCAAGATTCTGAAGAGTCTACGTATGTGGTCTCATTTAGAATAAATGGCCCTTATATAAGTGGAAACTGAGGCTCCAGGAGATAAGATGGACCAGCTGATACCTCACAGTGGTCAGTGTCGGAGCTGAGACTTGAATCCAGGGTTTCAGACTCGGGAACCCCTGCTTTCTCTGCAACTCCGCACCCCCACCCGCATGGTCCGGGCATAGCCTCCAGCCTCAGTCTGGGGAGGGTTGGATAGTTGGGTGAATCTCCACCCTAGGCCTTGGCTGGCAACACAAGCAGCATCCAGCAGCCCTGTAAGGTTTGGGCTGGGCCCGGCGGCAGCGGCAGCGGCAGCGGCAGCAGCAGCAGCAGAGGAACTGCACTATTTTAAGCCAGGGCCAGCAGGCCCCATGTGGGCACAGGGAGGGTGGCCTCGGGCCCTTGGCCAGCTTCCCGGAAGTCACCATGGCCTCCCTCCTCTCCCCTGAGCAGCTTTCTGAGGCAGTCACTTCCCTACAAACAGGAAGGAGGCCCTCAGGCCAGGAGCCCTCCAGCCCCAGCTTCTTCCTCCTACTCCCCAGTCTTCTCTACTGCTCAGGGGAGGCCACCAGCTCCAGGCCCTGATGGATGTCTTACCTGGGCTCTTAGCAGGTGGCGGTAGCGGGGGCGGGGTGTGCAGGGTGGGGTCTGGGCTTTTGCTGCTTGGGCTGCCCCAGTTCACCCAGTATGGGTTTTAGGCCTCTATTTGCCCAGGCCCTTGCCCCCTCGCCCCCTTTCCCACAGCCTGGTTCTCCCGTATATTCCCATTGAGGCAGGCCGCTAGGAGCCAGAAAGAAGAGCAGAGGTATCCCCAGACTTGGTCCCACTCAAGGACCCTAAAGAGAGACAGACTAAGAGACTGAAACAGAAACAAACTGAGACCTTCCTAGAGGAAGACTGAGGCCAAAACAGTGATAGGCACAGATTCATCGTGGCAGAGACGACATTAGACAGACGCTCAGAGACAAAAGCAGAGAGAGAAGCAAAGACTCGGCTGCAAAGGGCTGGGGCCCAGAGGGCAGCAGGGTGTCTCTGAGTGGTTGCTGCTGACCACCCCCAAGCACAGGCCCTGTCTCAGCCTGGGGGGCGGGGGGGTGGGCGGGAAGGGGGCCACCGGCTGCATGGCTGAAGAGGAATGTGGGGAGCAAGGCTGGGTCACCCCTTGAGGGCCGAGCGTGTGCACTGTGAGATAAACTACCCCAGGCAGGGGCCCCAGCTGCGCTGCATGCTCCAGGAGCGTGGTGCAGAGGCCCGGGCCGAGGCTGGAGACCCAGCCCCGCCAGACACCCAGCTCCGACATCTCCCCCGAGGGTCTCCACCAGACCTCACGTTCTAGGTCTCGGGTCCCTCGGCCCAGCCTTGGAGGGCATGCAGATTCATAGGAGAGCAGGGCGTGTCCTAGGAAGCCCGTCAGCCACAGGTCCTCACTTCTCCAGCTCCTGCAGGACCGTGAGCTCTGTGCATTCACGTACACGAGTTTGCGTCTGTGCGCATTTATCCCTGGGCTGCTTTGCATGTGGGAGTGTGCAAAGATGTACACGTCCACGTGTTGCCAGGAACCCCACTCGGCCACCACAAGTCCCTGCTGTCAGACTAGAGAAGTCCCCAGAGGCACCTGGTCTCTCCCGCCCCCACCAGGTGGTCCAGCCCAAAGAGCCAGGAGGCAGAGGGGGAAGAGCAAGCAGGTCTATTGCCATCCCCCCACCCCCCTCCCCACACTGCAGCTGAGGCTCCCGCTGGCCACGGCCTTGACCCCGCACTATGGACTTCTCTGACATTGGCATCGGATCTGAACATCTGGCAGCAGGCTGATAAGGGGTGCAGCGGAAACAGCCTCTGCTGCTGCCAGCAGCCCCACCCCCTCTACTGCCCTCTGAGGGGTCTGCACATCCACACTCCCTCTGCCTCCGGCTCCTGGCCCTGCCCCTCTCTCT